AAGAAGAAGAAGAAGAAGAAGAAGAAGAAGAAGAAGAAGAAGAAGAAAAGCAGAGTCTTGGAAGATAGGAACAGGGAGAAATGAGGTGGTATGTCCATATTATCTGGGTGAAGGTAGAATTGTGGGCTGGGAAAGAGGTACTTCTCAGACACATGGCATGACAGAAAGAGGACTCAAGATGGCCTGCAGTTTGAGACAGGGTAAATCAGATGACTTCAAAGGACAGGTTGGCAGAGACACTGGGACAGGAGGGTCAAGATGCTGAGGATCTGGGCCGCAGGAGCACCTTGCCTTTATCATTGACCTATTGAGCAGTTGGCAATGTCATAGTCAACTAGCCACTCTGCCACCTTGGTGGGGAAAGGAATTGAGGATTGGGGGCATCTGAAGGCCATATTTCAGCATCTCAACTCTTGATCCCCAAAGCTGGGTAAAGGCCATGTGCCTATTGCAGAAAGAAATCATGGGCCCTCTGGCCTTCAGCCAGTAATGGAGGGAGGCACCTGTCTCTTGCCCTCAGTGCTGAAGTATCCCCCTCCTGACAGGGTGCACTCTCTAGGACATGCACACTCATGTCTTAGAGCTGGTCAAGCAAGGTATAAGCAGCCTCACTCTTAGGTCTAAGAACACACAAACTCTGGGAAGAGAGCAAACTTGAGGAACCTTGAACTTGTGACCCCTTTGCTGCAGCAAGCTTCTGGGGAATAATTTCCTTCCCTAGGACCTCCATTGTCTTCGCCATTGTCTGTGCGTTTGCCTACTCCTCCTCTTTGTGCCCTATGTCCTCCAAGTGGTCCTGCCCTGGGCCAGGTACACTCACAGGGATACTAGAGCTGTGCCCTCCAGGGTAAAAAAAAAATGAAAATAAAAACAGGGGTGGGCGAGATGGCTCAGTGATTAAGAGCACATGGTGCTCTTCCAGAGGACCCGAGTTCAAGTCCCAGCACCCACATGAGGTCATTCTCACAACCACCTGTAACTGCAGCTCCCAATGCCTCTGGCCTCTTCAGGAACGTGCACTCCTGTGCACAGATACACAGAGACACACCAACACACACACATACAGACACACTCGCACAACTGAAAATCAATTTAAAAACACTTTTAAAGAAGAAAGAACGTGCAGGGACGGATGATCCAACTGCTTGAGTGAGGAGCCTAGATCCTTGCAGCCCTGTGAGCGTGCTGTGTGGGGCAGGAGGTGCCTGGAAACAGCTTTCCCTCCTCCTACCCTCCATACACTTATCGTACACAATGCCGGCCCAACTACTCCACTCATTCCTCCGGCATTCGCTGATGCTGACTCTGTGCCAGGCACAATGCCAAGAACCAGAAAAGCAAAGATGAATGAGCCTTCGGGGAGCTCACGGCAAAGAAGACAAGTTGCAGGCGGTTGTGATTCAGCAGTAGGAGCGGGCTGATGGGAGGACGGGGGACTACAGAAACCTGGAGGAGAGCACAGCCCCCCCCCAAACGCAGATGGGCTGGGAGGCTTCCCAGAGGAGGCAGCCTGTAGATCAGGCAGGATCCATAGGAAGGGGCCAGGCAGGCAAGAGGGGCTCGGGGGTAGGAATGGAGGAAGGAAGGGTGTGCGGAGATGGAGGTTCCTGCGATCTCCAGAAATTGCAGGTCAGGGTTTGAAAGTTATGGGCTGTGGGGATTTGTCGTGCAGCCACAGTTAGGGATCCCCTCCTTTGGGCCATGCTCCCCAAGGACCCTGACTCATCTCTGACAATTATTTCCCCCTTAGTGAAACCATGCCTTGCCTCAGCTCATGGCGTCCTTTGGGTGAGGGAAAGTGTCAACTGATGTCTGAAAATGGCCTCCAGATTGGAAACCATTTCTGAAAGAGTCTGTCCAATGCTACTGACAAAGTCACCTACGGGGCAGACCGTTTCTGTGTCCACCTCCCTTATCCTGCCTGGCCAGGCATTCCCTGTGGCTATTGATGCCCAATGACCTGGTGGTCCCTTAAGGTCCTTCTTTCACTCTGTCTGCGCCTCAGTCCTCTGTAGAGTGTCACCTCCTCTGAACCAGAACTTGTCTGCCTAAATTTCCACAGCTGTCTATTGTGGCTATTGCTTCGTCCAATGGGTTTGTCTCCTGCCTGCACTATACACCCTCGGAAGGCAGGAATGGAGAGGGTGGGGTCCTTTGCCCCAACTCCATGCCTAAAAAATTTTTAATAGGATTAATAATGCCTGGCTTAGCTGAGCACACCCCCCCCCCCCGTCTGTCTGGCCCTTGTTCCTTATACACTTCACCTGTATTAATTAATTCCCCATGGCCCCCTTGTGAAGTCAGCTCTGTCAAGTTTAAACAAAAAAAAAAAAAAAAAGATTGGGCATGGGGTCACCGAGAAGTTGTTAATTTGCCAAAGCCTCACAACTGGTAAGTGGCAGAGCCTAATTTCAGAGCCATACAGCCAGAAAGCTGAACTCTAATCCTATCTGCGCTGTGGAAATGCTACAGGACCTGAGCTACTCTGCCCAGTCGCAAACCTTCCACCTGGCGTGTTGTGCTACGGACAGTGGGTAAAACAGCAGGACTCGGAACCTACGAGGAGAAGCAGTGCGGTGCATATTGTTTGGGAACCGGAAGGACGGGAGGTGAAGTAACCTGAATTTGATTTTGATGGATAGGATCTGCAGAGGTAGCACGAGCAAGAAGAAGCTGTTCTCGCGCTTAGTCCAAGACTGTAGAGATTGCTCACGGGGTCCAGGCGCAAGAGAGCACGGCGGTGGCAGGGGGAGGCCAGCCCTGGGCGGCGAGGTACCTCCGCGGAGCCCGCCGAGGCTGAGAGATCCCTCGCCGGCGCCGCGTAATTAATCCGCAACAGCAGGGGAGAGAGTGTGGCGGCTCGCAGAGAAAGGAGTTAATTAGCAGCGCGTTCGGGAGAGACAATTAAATTACAGGAGACAACAGCACGCGTGGAAGACCCCAGAGCCCCCTCTGCCAGTCGCTAGGTGGTATTTCCGCCTAGCCGCCCGCCGCGCTGGGCAGGCGGGCGCTGCGGTACCCAGGTCTGCCGGGAGGGGGCGCTGCAGCCCGCCGAGCCCGTGGGGACCATCCGCACAGGACCCATCCCAGAGCCACAGAGCCTGCCTGCCGGCTTCTGGTCTCGCCAACCCGCAAAGGGCTTTGGCCGGGAAAGACAGAGGCCTGGGGCTGACCCGAGACCCGTCTCTGCTTTGGTCAGGGGACAGACAGCCTGTCAGGGAAGGCGGGGACCCGGCAGCCTGATGGGGCGCCCGGGCTATGCACCCGCAGGTTCCTGATACAGCGCAACTCCTCGCTCTTCGGCCTGTAGCCTCCCTTCCTCACTGCCTCTCGGTGGCTTTATTTGTTTTAATAGTGACCTTTCTTGCTCTAGCCGAATCCCGAATCCCGGGGCTGGTGAATGCTTGGCTTAGGGAAGTTCACCCAGGCATGACACAGACCTATGCAGTGTACATTTTTTTTTTTTTTTTTTTTTTTTTTTTTTTTTGTTCTTGTTTTTGTTTCGAGACAGGGTTTCTCTGTGTAGTCTCGCCTGTCCTGGACTCGCTTTGTAGATCAGGCTAGCCTCGAACGCACAAATATCTGCCTGCCCTCTCTCCCGGTGTGCTGGGAAGTGTTTGTTCTGAAGAAGAAACCTGGGCTCAGAGAGGCTGAGGAAACACACAGGTTGACATCCACATTCCTTTAGCCTCTGAGCCCTTCCTCGGCCTCTGTCTAGCCTGTTTTGAGCACAGAGCCTCACATAGGTGCTAAT